ACCTGGGAGAGCAGTGGAAGACGACCCTGAGTGCTTGGGCCCCTGCTACCCATGTGGGAGACCCAGATGAAGTTCCAAGCTCCTGGCTTCACTCTGGTGCGGATCCGGCTAATGTGGCCATTTGGGCAGTGAACCAGTGGATAGAAGATTCCCCCCCCCCATCTCTCCTTCCTTCTTTTCCTCCCTCCCTCCCTCCCTCTGTGTGTGTGTCTCCATCTCCATCTTGCCCCCTCTCTGTTGCTCTGCCTTTGAAATAATCATTAAAAATCACCCTGGGGACCAGCGCTGTGGCGTAGTAGTGGACCAACCTTCTGCCTGCAGCACTGGCATCCTATATGGGCTCCACTTCCAATCCAGCTCTCATCTGTATCCTGGGAAAGCAGTGGAGGATGGCCCAAGTTCTTGCGCCCCTGCACCAATGTGGCAGACCTGGAGGAAGCTCCTGGCTCCTGGCTTTGGATCAGCTCAGCTCTGGCCATTGCGGCCATTTAGGGAGTGAACCAGTGGATGGAAGACCTTTCTGTCTCTCCCTCTCTCTGTTTATAACTAACTCTCATATAAAAAAATTAAAAATGCAAAAAAAGGACTTGGATCCCTGCCACTACCTGGGAGATCTGAATTGAGTTCCAGACTCCTGGTTTCGACATGGCTTAGCCCTTCTGGTTGTGGTATTTGGGGAGTGACCAGTGGATAGAGGATCTCTCTCTCTACCTCTGTTTCTTTGCCTTTCAAATAAATATAAAACGTTTTAAAGACAGGTACTTTCTTGGAATCAACAAACTACCATATTTCCCCTGAGTATTCAGTGCCTATTTGCAAACAGTATTTGGTGCTTGTGGTGTTGGTGGGGATTGGCAGAGCAGTTATAATGCCGCTTGGGATATCTGCATCCCATGTCAGAGTGCCTGGTTCAAGTCTCAGCTCTACTTCCAATCTTAACTTCCTGCTAATATACATCCTGGGAAGGCAGGAGATGATGGCTTATGTACTTGGCGCCCTGCCCGCCATGTGGGCGACAGATGGAGTTCCTGCCTTGTGGCTTCAGCTAGCATTTGGAGACTGAACCAGTAAATTGAAGATCTCTGTCCATCTGTTCATCTCTCAGCCTTTCTAATAAAATGAAAAAAAATAAACATCTCACCTAAGATGCCTGTATCTAACATTGGAGTACCTGGGATTCATACCCAGCTCTGGATCCTGACTCCAGTTTCTTATTAATACAGATCCTGGGAGGCAGCAGGTAACAGCCAAAGTCCTTGGGCCCCTGCCACCCACGTAGGAAACCTAGCTTGAGTTCCAGGCTCCTGGTTTCAGCCTGGCTCAGCCCTGGCTGTTGTAGGCATCTGGGGAGTGAACCAGTAGGTGGAAGATTTCTGTCTCTCTGTCTCCATCTTTCAAATAAATAACAAATTTCTAAAACATTCTTGACAATATAAAAACAGAATGGGGCCGGCGCCGCGGCTCAATAGGCTAATCCTTTGCCTGCAGCGCCAGCACACCAGGTTCTAGTCCCGGTCAGGGCGCTGGATTCTATCCCGGTTGCCCCTCTTCCAGTCCAGCTCTCTGCTGTGGCCCAGGAGGGCAGTGGAGGATGGCCCAGGTGCTTGGGCCCCTGTACCCCCCATGGAAAACAGGAAGAAAGGCGTGGGCTCCGGTTTTCGGATTGGGCTCAGCGCCGGGCTGGGGAGGCCTTTTGGGGGGGGGAACCAAACGAAAGGAAAGACTTTTCTCTTTTTTTTCTCCCTTCGCATAACCTCTTTTCAAAAAAAAAAAAAAAAAAAAAAAAAAGTTCCTACCCAGTTGTAGGGGTAACATGTAAAGACCAATCCCATTTCTTTATACTAGTAATAGAAAATTGGAAGGGAAAAATTTTCAAAACAGTATAATTTATTTTTACAGTATTATTTATAACCATGAAAGTCAGAATACTTAGGTTCAAGTATAGAAGACCTGTGCAGAGTCCTGTTTAAAGCCACATTATACTGATGAAATTAATGTATCCTAAGTAAATGGAAAAGATGTATTGCACTCAAGAACTGCAAATATTTTCAGAGTTGAGGTATCAGGGGCTGGTTTTTGCCCTAGTGGATAAGATGTCCATGCCCCATATCAGAGTGCCTGGGTTCAAGTCCCACCTCTGGCTCTTGATCTAGGTCCCTGCTAATGTGGACCTAGGAGGTGGCAATGATAGCTCAAGTGACTGAGTTTCTGCCAGCCACAAGGGAGATTTAGATTGCATTCCAGCTGCTGGCATTTGAGGAGTGAACCAAGGGATGGAAATTCTCTCTGTCTCCATCTGTCTTCCTGAAATATTTTTTAAAATATTTTAATTTTAATTTTGTTTAATATTTATTTTTTAAAAATATTTTATTCCCTAAACAATCTAGAAACGTAATGCAATTCCAACAAAATCCCAGCATTATTTTGTGAGATAAAAACTGATTCTAAAATTTGTACGCAAGACAAAGGAATGAAAATAGTCAAAACCACTTGCAAAAGAAGAACGAAGTTGGTAGACTCATGCTACCCAATTTTAAGGCTTATTATAAGAGCAGAAATCAAGGCTGTGTGAGACTCCTGAAAGGCAGACACGGACTAATACACAGAAAATGGAGTGAAGACACAAACCCAAACAACAATGATCAGGTGGGTTTTTTGTGTGCAAGGTGCAAATGCAATTAAATGCAAAAAAGATAATTTTTTAAAGATTTATTTTATTTATTTGAAAGAATTACAGAGAGAGGTAGAGACAGAGAGAGAGGTCTTCCATCAGCTGGTTCACTCCCCAAATGGCCTCAATGGCTGGAGCTGCGCCGATCCGAAGCCAGGAGCCAGGAGCTTCTCCTGGTCTCCCATGGGGTGCAGGGCCCAAGTACTTGGGCCATCCTCCACTGCACTCCTGGGCCACAGCAGAGAGCTGGCCTGGAAGAGGGGCAACTGAGACAGAATCCGGAGCCCCAACCGGGACTAGAACCTGGTGTGCCAGCACCACAGGCAGAAGATTAGCCTAGTGGGCCGCGGTGCCGGCCACTTTTTTTTTTTAAAGACAGAGTTACAGAAGAGGTAGAGACAGAGAGGGAGGTGTTCGATCTGCTGGTTTACTCCCCAGATGGCCGCAACAGCCAGAGCTGGGTTGATCCAAAGCCAGGATCCAGGAGCTTCTTCCGGGTCTCCCATGTGGGTGCAGGGGCCCAAGCACTTGGGCCATCTACTGCTTTCCCAGGCCACAGCAGAGAGCTGGATCAGAAGACAAGCAGCCGGGACTAGAACTGGTGTCCATATGGGATGCTGGTGCTTCAGGCCAGGGCTTTAAACCACTGTACCACAGCACCGGTCCCATAAAAGATAATCTTTCAATAAATAGTATTAGAACAATTGGACATCCATCTCGAAAAATTAACCCTGACCTATACCTCACACTTTATTTATTTATTTTAACTTTTATTTAATAAATATAAATTTCCAAAGTACAGCTTTTGGATTACAGTGGCTTTTCCCCTCCCCCATAACTTCCCTCCTACCCGCACCCCTCCCATCTCCCGCTCCCTCTCCCATTCCATTCACATCAAGATTCATTTTCAATTATCTTTATATACAGAAGATCAATTTAGTATATATTAAGGAAAGATTTCAACAGTTTGCACCCACACAGAAACACAAAGTGTAAAATACTGTTTCAGTACTAGTTATAGCATTAATTCACATTGTACAACACATTAAGGACAGAGATCCTACATGGGGAGTAAGTACACAGTGACTCCTGTTGTTGACTTAACAAATTGACACTCTTGTTTATGGCGTCAGTAATCTCCCTAGGCTCTAGTCATGAGTTTCCAAAGCTTGGAAGCCTTTTGAGTTCGCTGACTTCGATCTTATTCTGACAGGGTCATAGTCAAAGTGGAAGTTCTCTCCTCCCTTCAGAGAAAGGCACCTCCTTTGCTGACCCATTCTTTCTACCAGGATCTCACTCGCAGAGATCTTTCATTTAGTTTTTTTTTTTTTTTTTTTCTGCCAGAGTGTCTTGGCTATACCTCACACTTTAAACAAGTTGGTTCAAAACTGACCGCAGATCTAAAAGTCGGTTGTAGAAACTAGCAATCTTTTAGATGAAAGCAGGAGCAAGTTTTGTGATCTAAATTCGGCAGAGTTCTCAAGACATCAACAGCACGGTTCAACAGCAACAATGACACCAAACAGACAGTGCACTCACAAATTAGATGATCTTCATGAAACAAGCTTCCTACTGAAAGGAAACACTTGCTGTCACATACTCGACAAAGAATACTTAAACAATCTCAAAATTAAAAAAAAAAATAGAAAAAAGGGCAACAGATTCTACAAGTTGCCTTAAGGAAGATAAGCAGGTGGAAATAAGTACAGCATCGCTAGTCACCAGCAAAATGAAAATTCACACCACAGTGAGATGCCGTGCCTACCTACTACAGCGGCTAAATTAAAAAGACTGGGACAAGTGCTGGCAAGGATCTGGAGGAAATGAACTTTCAAACTCTGCTGATGCGGATGTGAAATCGTACAGCCATTCTGAAAAATAATTTTGTAGCTTTACATTCACTTACGCAACCAGCCATTCCTCGCTTCGGTTTCCAAACCTCTGGCAATGCAAACATCCATCAACAGGTGAGCAGATAAACCATGCTGGTATACACATCCACTTAGTAGACTTTTTTATTTAAAATTTTTTTTACAGGCAGAGTGGACAGTGAGAGAGAGAGACAGAGAGAAAGGTCTTCCTTCCGTTGATTCACCCCCTAATGGCCGCTGTGGCCAGTGCACCGGGCTGATCCGAAGGCAGGAGCCAGGTGCTTCTCCTGGTCTCCCATGGGGTGCAGGGCCCAAGCACTTGGGCCATCCTCCACTGCCCTCCCGGACCACAGCAGAGAGCTGGCCTGGAAGAGGAGCAACCGGGACAGAATCTGGCACCCCAACAGGGACTAGAACCCGGGGTGCTGGTGCTACAGGTGGAGGATTAGCCTAGTGAGTTGCGGCGCCGGCCTTAATAGAATATCGAGGCAATGAAAAGAAATGCATCACTAGTGCACACAACAAGGAGGAGGATCAAAATACTTGAGCCAAACGAAAGAAGCTGGGGGTGCAGGGGACGGGCGTGGGTGGGGAGAATGCCTGCTGAGTGATTGTATTTCTATAAAAGTCCTAGGGAGTGCAGACTCTCCTGCAAGTGTCCAAGCAGGTTAGTCGTTATAGGGACTGGGGGAGAGGCAGGGAGAGGCAGGCAGAGATGACCAAGGAGCATGGCAGGTACGCTGGGGACAACGCACCTGTTCATTATCTCATCTGTGGTGACAGGTTCGGGGGCACACTCATCAAAACTCACCAGATTGTACCCCACTTAAAAAAAAAAACCTGGAAGAAACCCTTTATTGTAAATCTGAGCCACTGCCCCACTGGATTGTGGGAAATTCAATTTCATCTAACACCGGCCCCTCCCTGCTGAGAGCTGTACCTGAATCTAGGCGGCTCACACGGTGCCCCCACAGACAAGCGAGACCCTGGCCCTGGCCCTGACCCTCGGCGAGCTCCTGCTCCCAGACTGTGGCCCCAGCCCAGGACTCAGTCCTCAGGGATGTACAAGGGTCCGATGTCCTCATCCCTCTTTGCCTGGTTCCTTTACCAGACAGCTTTGTGAAACTGACAGATTCCCATGGGCTTGGGTAAGGCCTCTGCTCCAGCTGTTACTCTCTCTGTCAGCACCTACAGCCCCGCACCTGCACCTCCTAGCTCCCGGTGGACACAATCCCAGTTTCTCCTTGGAGAACCTGAACGGAGTCTAATCATTCAAGCAAAGTGAATTGTGGCCTCCCCAGTCTAACCTATAAATCTTTCAGCTCCTGGCTCCCTGCAGAGCACTCTGGAACTGTTCTCACATTGCTACGTCTTAATAAAGGCTTAAGCTGAGGGCACTCGCCTGTTAGCCCCTCTGTCTATAGTCTATGGATGACTCATCTCGAGTCTGGAAGTCTAAGTGTCCTTCTCGGAAGGCCAGCACTCCTGCTGGGGCCCCAGGATGCCCGCCTACCCAGGAATGCTGTCGGAATAGTTCTGTGTAAGGCCGGCGCCGCGGCTCACTAGGCTAATCCTCCGCCTTGCGGCGCCGGCACACGGGGTTCTAGTTCTGGTCAGGGCGCCGGATTCTGTCCTGGTTGCCCCTCTTCCAGACCAGCTCTCTGCTGTGGCCAGGGAGTGCAGTGGAGGATGGCCTAAGTGCTTGGGCCCTGCACCCCATGGGAGACCAGGAGAAGCACCTGGCTCCTGCCATCTGATCAGCACGGTGCACGGGCCACAGCGCCATTGGAGGGTGAACCAACAGCAAAGGAAGACCTTTCTCTCTGTCTCTCTCTCTCACTGTCCACTCTGCCTGTCAAAAAAAAAAAAAAAAAAGTTCTGTGTAAGGGTGGCCTGGCCACCCAGCCCACTGTGTCCACACAGGCTGACTCCAGCTCTGGCAGGAGCCCCCGGGCCCGAGGACAGGGCAGCAGGGAGCAGGGAGCCGACCTTGGAGGCTATGGCTTGGCTTTTACACCGCGTCTCGGATCACAGCTGCAAGCGTGGGCGGTGTTTTCGTGCTCGCTGTCCGCAGGCCCCACTCATCACAGACTCTGTCGGAAGTTTCTTGAAGTCTGTGTTGCAGAAGTTTTCTCCTCCACTGCATGCAGAAGGCAGCTACTTCCAGTTCCTCTGGGTCGGGAGGTGGCTGCCTCAATCCCTGGAGGGAGGGGGAGAGAGGCAGGGAGAGGCGGGGGGGGGGGGGGATTCAGTTCTGCAGGCATGGCGCCGCTTTCCCACTGCTTGGCTGCAGCGCTTTCTTAGGGGCCCCCTGCCTCAGGTGGCTCTAGCCCTAATGCTGTGGGGCTCCCGGAACCGTGTTTGGAAAGGCCCTCTGCACGGAGCGCAGTGGAGGCTTCTTCATGTTTGCTCTGTGCTGAGACTGTAGCCAATACTTGCAGATCCTCTCTCCACTTCAAGTGCCCACTCCCTTGGGGTCTTCGTTTTCTGCAAAATATCTGTGCGTCTGGAAGCCAGGGCCCTAAGCGGATCCGCGACACAGGTGCGCGCCATGCACACTCGCTTGGCTCTCGGGTCTGGGGATTGTGGGGTGGGCGGTGGCCCTGCCTTGGTTGGCGTGGCTGGGTCAGTGGAAGGCTGTGGACTGTGGCCATGGCTCCTGCGGGGGACACAATCTGCTCCTCAGGGGCCAGGCCAGAGCTTTTCCCACAGCCCCTTTTATATTCCTAGGACTAAAGGACACGGAGCTGAAAAAAGTGTACTTCTCAAAGGCCTTTTACCCGGTATGCCTGGTCTATGTACTCTTTTTTTTTTTTTTTTTAAAGATGTATTTATTTGAAAGACAGAGTTATAGAGAGGCAGAGGCAGAAAGAGAGAGGTCTTCGGCTGGCGCCACAGCTCAATAGGGTAATCCTATGCCTGCGGCGCCAGCACACCGGGTTCTAGTCCCGGTCAGGGTGCCTGATTCTGTCCCAGTTGCTCCTCTTCCAGTCCAGCTCTCTGCTGTGGCCTGGAAAGGCAGTGGAGGATGGCCCAGGTCCTTGGGCCCTGCACCTGCATGGGAGACCAGGAGAAGCACCTGGCTCCTGGCTTCGGATCAGTGCAGTGCGCCGGCCTTAGCTGCCATTTGGGGGGTGAACCAACAGAAAAGGAAGACCTTTCTCTCTCTCTCTCTCACTGTCCACTCTGCCTGTCAAAAAAAGAAAGAAAGAAAGAAAGAAAGAAAGAAAGAAAGAAAGAAAGAAAGAAAGAAAGAAAGAAAGAAAGAAAGAAAGAAAGGAAGGAAGGAAGGAAGGAAGGAAAGAAAGAGAGGTCTTCCATCCGCTGGTTCACTCCCCAGATGGCTGCAATGGCCAGAGCTGTGCTGATCTGAAGCCAGGAGCCAGGAGCTTCTTCCAGGTCTCCCACGTGGATGCAGGGGCCCAAGGACTTGGGTCATCTTCAACTGCTTTCCCAGGCCATAACAGAGAGCTGGATTGGAAGTGGAGCAGCTGGGAGTAGAAGCAGTACCCAGATGGGATGCCAGCACTGTAGGCGGTGGCTTTACCACTTTGCTACCCTCAGTATATTTTTAGCACCCGCATGCACCAGCCTTCCAGTCTAGGTGTGGAACTTCATGGAGTTCACATTCTAATAAACAAGCCAGATAAATAAATGCAAAGAAGGAAAACTAATAATTACAAACTGTGATGAGTACTATAAAGGAATCACACACACACACACACACACACACACAAATCAAAGTAGAGGAAACGGTGTGATTCAGTTTAGACAGTGGGATTGTTTCATCCTTTTGGAGCAGGCAGAATTTAAGTTCAGGGCCGGTGCCGTGGCTCACTTGGTTAATCCTCTGCCTGCGGTGGCAGCATCCCATATGGGTGCCGGGTTCTAGTCCCGGTTGCCCCTCTTCCAGTCCAGCTCTCTGCTGTGGCCCAGGAAGGCAGTGGAGGATGGCCCAAGTGCTTGGGCCCTGCACCCACATGGGAGACCAGGAAGAAGCACCTGGATCCTGGCTTCTGATAGGCGCAGTTCCAGCCATGGTGGCCATTTGGGGGGTGAACCAACGGAAGGAAGACCTTTCTCTCTGTCTCTCTTTCTGTCTATAACTCTACCTGTCAAATAAATAAAATTAAATTTTAAAAAAGAATTCAAGTTCAGATCCAAAGTATATGCAGGAGCCAGGCTCACAATCCCAGCTTCTGCCAGTGCAGACCCTAGGAGACAGCAGGTGATGGCGCAAGTCATTAGGACCCTGCCACTCAAATGGGAGACCTGGATAGAGTTACTGGACCCTGGCTCTGGCCCCAACCTTGACCTGTGGCTGTTTGGGGAATGAACCAATGGATGGGAGCACTGTCTCTTTATCTCTCTCTGCCTCTCAGATAAATAAGTAAGAACATAAATTAAGAAGAAAAAAAAAAAGAAGAGGAAGCCATTGATGAAGTGGATCACACACAGGGGGAACAGCACTCAGAGAGGTCTAAGCAAGATTTCTTTCGGACACTTAACTATTCTCCATTTCCAGCTTCTACTTCAGGTATAGGAAGCTGGAAAGAGCGGTGCTCATGCCCTAACAACAACAGCAAAGGTACATCATCCACAAAGTCATAACTGTTCCTGAACTCACTAGAGAGCTCAGGTTAGGAGGCAATGAACTAGTCTGAAATCTAATAAAAGACAGGCATGTCTACAAAGAGACGCTGGCTTTCATAGGCTACAAGAGCATGGGAGGAAGACAGGGCCACCCCACAATCTGGTGAGATTTTAGGGAAAATGTTTAACAAATTGCTAATGGCCAAGTTTAACACTGGTGTGAGTACACAGAACCTATGGGAGCCACACACAAGAAAAATCCACATAAACTCATAGGTTTTTGCAAGGAACCACTCCTGTGCTCATGAGAAAGAGGTCAGGGGCCAACCTGTGGCATAGCAGGGTGAGCCGAAGCTTGTGACACCGGCATCCCATATAGATGCTGGTTCACGTCTCAACTGCTCCACTTCTGATCCAGCTCCCTGCTAACGTGCCTGGGAAAGCAGTAAAGGATGGCCCCTGCACTCATGTGGGAGACCTGGAAGGAGCTCCTGGATCCTGGCTTTGGCCTGGCCCAGCTCTGGTTATTGTGGGCATTCAGGGAGTGAATGAACAGATGGAAGATTCTCCCTCTCTTTCTCTGTCTCTCCCTGTCTCTCTCTGTAACTTTGCCTTTCAAATAAATAAAGAAATAAAGAAATCTTTTATTTTTTTTTTAGTCCTACTTTAACAAGTTTCTCGGCTCTGCTTCTCTTAGAGCCCCCTCCTGGCTGCTGCAGTAGGAGGCTTCTCACTTAAATAAATCTTGTTTTGCTCACCCCCCAAAAAATCTATTTTATCTCTACTATTCCATGCATAAGCCAAATTTTCAATGGAAAGTTATGAGACATGCAAAAAGAAACACAAAACAAAGCTGTCAGAAGACAAAACGACAACAACAAAAACCCAGATTCAGGTATGAGCCACACTGTTCAAATTACACAGGGAATTGAAAAGAACTATGATAAATATATTAAGGATCTTCGTGGAAAAGTGGACAGAAGTACATGACCAAATGGAGAATTTTAGCAGAGAGATTAAAAACTATTAAAATAATTAAATAGAAATACTACAGATAAGGGGAAAAAAAAACAAGCAAACAGATATGAAGAATGCTTGGCCAGGCTCATCTACAGACAGGCTACAGCTAAAGAAATAAAGAAATTGAAGGTAGATCAATAACAATTGGGCAAACTGAATTGCACAGGAAATTGGGTGATAGATGGGGAGGAGGAATGAGGATGAATTCAACAGCGACAGGGAAGGTAGAGGGGCTGGCGTTGCGATGCCGCACGTTAACACCGCCTGGGATGCAGCATCCCATACTGGAGCGCGTCCAAGTCCTGGCTGCTCCGCCTTCCTAAGGTGTCGCTGTGTCCACCTGCCACTCATGTGGGAGACCCAGACGGAGTTCCAGGCTCCTGGCTTCCGCCTGGCGCAGCCCTGGCTGTTGTGGCCATTTGGGGAGTGAACCAGAGGATGGAAGACCTCTCTCTCTCTCTCGCTCTGTCTTTTGAAGAAATAAAGTCTTTTCAAAAATAAATAGAAAGAAGGTTGAGTATCCTTGTGAAAGTGGCAAGCTTTGACGTTGCCATGGCCCGTGACCCTGAGCCCTGGTGCCGGGTGGTGTGTGAGTGTCCCACGCGGCCCCCCGCACCCCGGCCCCCCACTCACCCGGAGACTGGCAGCTTCTGCGGCTCTCACGGTCTCACTCACAGCCCGGAGGAGCTGCTGCGCAGTGCCCACTAGGAGCTCTTCAGAGGACTGGCTTCTGGCCAGCGAGGCCTTCACCCTTGGGAGTTCACAGAAAGGAACGTACACCACGTTAAGAGATACCACCCCGAGTAAGTGCTCTTCCACGCCGGAGGACTGTACCACAGGCTGGGCTGCCGTGCTGGGGGACCATGCGGAGAGAGAACTTAACAGTTGAAAATGAAACCTTGACTTTGACTTGAAGACAGCACGACTCACACAGCAGCTGGATGGACGCCTTCACGGAACCTAACTGAAGAGAGAGCAGGCGGTCCGTGCTCCACCACCGTGGACGCCCAAGGGGAGCCAGGACTTTTTGGGACAGAGTTCTGTGCCAGCTTAGAGGCAAAGGCCCCACGAAAGGCCAGGCCACTACTTCCTATCTGAATGACTCACTTCAAGGACATCTGTTTTAAACGGAAGGTAACTGAATTATTTAGGCAGTTTGTTCTCTTCCTTGGAAAATGAAAAGGCTGTGAAACTTAAACTGACTTTAACTGGCAAAATTTTAGGACTTCTAGATTCTTTAGGAGGTGAGAGCCGTAAGCATACCCGTGTTAAGCATGCCTTGTTATCGTCTGTGTTTCTGACATTTGCTTTGACATTCTGAAGCCTGCAGGGGCCAGCCAGCTCCTAGAGACAGCAAATGATGCACCTGCAAGCTGCCTTCCATGTGTGGACCACCAGTCTGGAGCCTGCACCCCCAGCTACCTCCTTCCCCTAGCTTTGCCCTCCAGGCCACAATCCACCTGCCCGAATCACCCAGAGCCAGATCCCAGACAACCAGAGACAAACACAACACCCAGGGCCCACTGAAATGACTCAAACCAGACAGCCCTACACCGGCTTAGCCTGCTCCCCCTGATGCACCCTCTGCTTCCTGTGAAAACCAAGATAAATGCCCTTGCCCACGTTTCCCTTTTGCCTTTTGACCGGCGCTGCAGCTTCCCCACACTGTACCTGCTGGTGTAGGGACCTGTGAGTCTAAGAACTTCTCCCCTTGTGACGTCCTTTCCCTGTCTGTTTCATTTCCAGGGTATGCTGACAACACCACCCATATCTGAAAAGCTAAAATTCATTGTACACCCTAGGGTACTGTAGGTTCTCTATTAAAAAACAACAACAACAACACCCGGGCCGGCGCTGTGGCTCACTAGGCTAATCCTCCACCTACAGCACCAGCATCCCCAGGGTTCTAGTCCCGGGCAGGGTACCAGATTCTGTCCCAGTTGCTCCTCTTCCAGTCCAGCTCTCTGCTGTGGCCCGGGAGTGCAGTGGAGGATGGCCCAAGTGCTTGGGCCCTGCACCCCATGGGAGACCAGGAGAAGCTCCTGGCTCCTGGTTTCGGATCGGCGTAGTGGCCATTTTGGGGGGTGAACCAACGGAAGGAAAACCTTTCTCTCTGTCTCTCTCTCTCTCTCACTGTCTATAACTCTGTCAAATAAAAAAAAATAAAAACTAGAAGACAGCCTTGTGGATGTCTTCAACACAAAAATAAACATTAAAAGTTTAAGAGATACATATATTCAGGCTGATTGAACATTAAACAAAACAGCACATAGTACCCTGTAAACATGTACAGTTTTTGTATGTCTGCTGCAGTTTTGACTGCAGCTTCCTGCTAACGTAGACCCAGGGGGTGGAGGTGAGGGCTCAGGGAGTTGGGTTCCTGCCACCCATGTGAGAGACCCAGATTGAGTTCCCGACTCCTGGCTTCCGCCTTCAATCCAGCCCAGCTCCAGCCAATGCAAGAATTTGGGGAGGCCTGCGCTGCGGCTCACTAGGCTAATCCTCTGCCTTGTGGCGCCAGCACACAGGGTTCTAGTCCCGGTCGGGGCGCCGGATTCTGTCCTGGTTGCCCCTCTTCCAGGCCAGCTCTCTGCTGTGGCCAGGGAGTGCAGTGGAGGATGGCCCAAGTGCTTGGGCCCTGCACCTGCATGGGAGACCAGGATAAGCACCTGGCTCCTGCCATCGGATCAGCGAGGTGCACAGGCCGCAGCGCGCAGCCCGTGGCGGCCATTGGAGGGTGAACCAATGGCAAAGGAAGACCTTTCTCTCTGTCTCTCTCTCTCACTGTCCACTCTGCCTGTCAAAAAATTAAATTAAATTAAATTAAAGAAATTAAGAATTTGGGGAGTAAAACAGCAGACGACAATTTTTTATTCTCTCTCTCTCCTCCACTCCCCATCTGCCTCTTAATTACTTAATTAATTAAAAAATCAATGCAGTTCTAAATAGAAGAATTTTGGTAGCTAAGCTTAGGGCAATCATGTACCTGAAACATTATTTCCTGAAGACCCTTAGCCAGGTTTTATTCTACATTTTAAAAGAATGCATACACTTTGTTTTAGCAATCTTATTTTTATGCCTCACAAAAACTGATAATAATTTTAACTATTAATCTTTTCCATATTAAAAGAATAATAAAAGTTTGTTACTGGTGACTGTGCCATTGCAAGTTACTAAGAGACTCAGGTTGAAATGAAATTGTTTGATGATGACATTATCATGTTCTATAGTAACCAACAGGAAAACTGTTAGAAGCAGACCACTAATGAAAACTGCTCAATCCCAGAGTTTGGGCATATTAGACACTATGTGACACGTGGCTGCACCGATTCAGCAGTAGTAGTATTTAAGAGGCAAGAGACAGACGAGCAGAAGACAGAACTCCCGTTTGCTGGTTCACTTCCCAAATGCCTGCACTGCTGAGCTGAGCGGGGCCTAGGTCAGAATCTGAGAACTCAGTTGAGGTCTCCCACATGGGTGGCAGGGACCCAACTGCTTGAAGCACCACCTGCTGCCTCTCAGGGTCTGCACTGGCGGGAGCTGGAGTCAGGTGTCAGAGCCAGGACTCCAAGGCAGGTCTACTGATATGGGATGTGGGCATCTTACCCAGTGATCTAATTACCAGTACAAATGCCCACTCCACATGACTGTATTTGTTTTTCAAAGACAACTGCCTTTTCCATTAGATGTTGTTAGTTTAAAATAGAGAGCTAATAGCCAAAACATAGACATGGTTATGAAGAAAGTTCATCACGGTAGCTTAACCCTGAAGTGTATCCCTGGCACTTGGCAAGGAGGAGGGGCTGGTGTTGAAGAGCAGTATGTTTTGATATTTGACATCTGATCATTAAAACTTCCTTATGGCGGGGCTGGTGTTATGGTATAGCGAGAAGGCCACGGCTTGTGACAGCGGCATCCTATGTAGGCATTGGTTCATGTCCTGGCTGCTCCACTTCCGATCCAGCTCCCTGCTGGTAGCCTGGGAAAAGCAGTGGAAGATGGCCTGAATGCTTGGGCCTCTGGCACCCATGCAGGAGACCCAGATGAAGCTCCTGGCTCCTGGTGTTGGCCTGGCCCAGTGCTGGCAATTGCAGCCATCTGGGGAATGGACCACTAGATGGAAGATATCTCTCTCTCTCTCTCTCTCTCTCTCTCTCTCCCTATCTCTATCTCTCTGTTACTCTGACTTCCAAATGGACAAATATTTTTAAAAGTTCCTCATGGGTACTTTCTGGTCACACCTGCTTAGCAACTAGTTTTCCATGTTAAATCTTATTTTCTCTTATGTTGTCACACAGTTGCAGTGAAATGAGAAAAGGTCCAAGCTTAAATGTGTAGCTTTTGTCCTAAGTTAAAACTCTGTGTATCATTCCCCAAATAAGAGCTTAGCGGTTTTCACCAAAGCCATTTCCTACCTGGAGATGATACGGAGCTGGCTGCTCATCGTTTGAATCTGCTCCGCCTTGCACACCAGCTCCTGGGAGCATCTTGGATCCGCGCAGTTCTTAGCAATGATGCAGATAAGCCTGGCAAAGTCTTGTGCGGAGGTCACGATTTTCCTAGCCGAGGTAATGAGCTGATCTTTGGTCTGTAGCAAAGACCCGTGACAGTTAGGAGTAGCTGGACAGCGCCCTGACGTGTCCCCCTGAGCCCCGCCCCAGGAAGCTGGTAAAAAACTATAAAGCAGCCCAAATGTGCCGAGCACCTCTCACTTCCGCCCCCAAGGCGAATGTGATCTCAGCCTCTCCTCCAAGGCTCCTTCCTGGTGAGAGACTCACGCTTCTGAAGTGGGCGGAGTCAAGGGCCATGGCTCCACCCCCTGTGTGGGGCCGCTCCAGGGAAGGCAGCCCAGGCTCCTGGTGGCGACCTAGCCCACTCTGCCCAGGAACCAGGCTGGCCCGAGGTGCAGAGTTGGCCTCCAGCAGGCCCAGGGCAGATAGGAACCCCCTGAGAAGGGCCAGGTGTGAGGACAGTCCAGGTTGAAGGGGTCTTCCCTGTAGCAAAGGTCACACGGGAGCTTGCCCACTGGGACTCCATCACTACCGGACCAGTGACAGAGGCCACCTACCAGACAGTGGATAAATTCTGACCCTGCTGAGCCTCATTTTTCTTTTTTCTTTAAGCATCAGAAACCTGTATTCAAAGGCAATCTTAAACATACTGGTGAGGGGCTGGTACAGTGGGTTAAGCCTGTAATGCAGGCATCCCTTATGGGTCTGGTTCGAGTCCTGGCTGCTCCACTTCCAATCCAGCTCTCTGCTATGGCCTGGGAAAGCAGCAGAAGATGGCCCAAGTCCTTGGGCCCCTGCACCCACGTGGGAGACCCAGAAGAAGCTCTAGTTTCTGCCTGCCACAGCCCTGATTGTTATGGCGACTTGGGGAGTGAACCAGCGGATGGAAGATTCTCTCTCTCTCTCTCTCTCTCTCTCTCTCTCTCACTTTCTCTCACCCCAACCCTGCCCCATTCTAAACCTTTCTTTAAAAAATGGTGCATGTTGACAGAACCAACACAAATAAAAGCTGTGCTTCCCCGGCTGACAGGGAGCCCAAAGCCAGCTTTGCTGGCCAATCTGGGAGGAGCAGGCCATGGGAGGAGGAGAGCCAGGCCAAAAGAGGACACCCCGGAAATGCCACATGTCCTGCTGCGGGATCACCTTGCAGAGACGGGATGGACCTGCCCTCCCCAGATCTGGTTGGGCTGCCATGTGAACCAAACAGGTGTGAGAAGGTTTGCCACTCACATAATGAGGCTTTCTGGGGAGAGCAGAGCCGCTCCCAACTATTATTGAATTACTCAGTGAAGCCAATAACTATTCCCAGAAGCTGGAGGGAAGCAGCCCTCTTCCTCCCCAGCTGTTCAAGTCCCGGATGGCTACGCTTCAGTGGGCTACAGTCCTTGTTACCCCTATTTCGGGGAGCTTAAAAATAGGAAAATGATGGAGCCCATGCTGTAGTGCAGCAGGGTAAGCCCCTGGCCTGCAGCACCGGCATCCCATATGGGCGCCAGTTTGAGTCCCAGCTGCTCCACTTCTGATCCAGCCTCTTGCTAATGTGCCGGGGAAAGCAGCAGAAGATGGCCCAAGTCCTTGGGCCCCTGCATCCATGTGGGAGACCCGGAAGAAGCTCTTGGCTCCTGCTCAGCTCTGGTCATTTGTGGCCATTCGGAGAGTGAACCGGCAGATGGAAGATTTCTCTCTCTCTCTCTCTCTCTCTCTCTCTCTCTCTCTCTCTCTGTAACTCTGCCTTTCAAATAAATAAATAAATCTTTAAACATTTTTTAAAGGTAAATGGCTCCCCTCGGTTCCTTCTCCTGGGCTTTAAGTAGTCCTTGATTGTACTAAGTTGCGGCTTTCTGGAAATCATCTTCCCCGGTGGCAACAGGACAATGTCTTAGCAGCCAGGCCCTATAGAGGGGAAGGAAGAGGTGATGTAGACTCTAGGCTACAGCAGCCAGAGAATGAAGGCAGCACACAGAAGTGCTGAGTGCCACCTGGCCCTGCCACTGGCCCTTCCTCAGCCCAGTTCCTGGGGGACAGCAGGGGACCCCATCCCCCACATGATGTCCAGGCTTCTCCCCACCACGGTCTCTTGGAGCCCAGTACCAGGAGGCGTCTCCCCTTCAAACTCTGTGCCATCAGCAACACCTCCGTGGCCATCTCCCGAGTGATCCGTGTGAGTCGGTTGTCACCATCTGCGCCACCATCCCCTGGCAGAGGCTGGGCCAGCTCAGCAGGTGGCCAGTCGGGGTGGCCGCTCTGCCGCTGCGAGAAGAGACAGATTAGACATCATCCAATTTCTGCTCTCAGGCCTCTCACACACAACGGGGATGCTACTGCCTTTTTCATGTTTTTAAAAGAAAGAGGGAACCCAGAGGGTGTCCTGACTCTGCCCTTCCCACTCTTACCCAAACACGTGCGGAAACAGCGAGTAGAGGACAGGCACAGGAGGGGTCCCTACAGTCTGTGCTCCACTCACCCAGAATCTGCGTGAACTAAACCTGGCACGCTCTCGAAAAAGTTACAATACCACACTGTATTGGGGCCGGCGCTATGGCGCAGTGGGTTAAAGGCCCGGCCTGCAGCACAGCCATCCCATATGGGCGCCGGTTCTAGTCCCAGCTGCTCCACTTCCGACCCAGCTCTCTGCTATGACCTGGGAAAGCAGTGGAAGACGGCCCAAGTGCTTGGGTCCCTGCACCTACATGGGAGACCTGGAAGAAGCTCCTGGCTCCTGATTGGCACAGTTCTGGCCATTGCAGCCATCTGGGGAGTGAACTAGCAGATGGAAGACCTCTCTCTCTGTCTTTACCTCTCTCTGTAACTCTGTCCTTCAAATAAATAAAATAAATATTTTTAAAAAATAAAGAAAATATCACATCGTCTTTTTCTCTGGGAATTTCCATCTTAGAAGAGAGACTCTGCAACCCCCAAAGTAATCCAGGAATCCTTGAATGTTCCTGCTTTTGGGACCCAAACGCTTCCTCATGTTAGTCTACTGGAAAGGGCTTTGCAAACTTGCTGTGAATAAGTTACTTTTTCCTGTTAACTGGGTGGCCACTCCTTTCTAGTGAGAAAGAGAATGGGAGCAGCTCTGACCTTGAGATGTGAACCACTGCTCACGGCCAGGCCTTGCCCTTCTCCTGTGGGACCTTTAGCAGGGCCTCCCAAAGCCTTGATCCTGGAGTCAAGACAGCTGTTCTGTGCTTGAAGGCAAATCCAGGAACAGAGGGTCAAGACATCCTGGATGGTCCCTCTGCCTCACTGTCTGGACCCTGAGCTCCACAACGCAGGGGCTGTGCCCAGGATAGAGGCTGGAAGAACACATGGGAGGGATTCTGGGCCCACCCTATCCCCTTTTCTCCCCAGGCACCCCAGTGTGGCAACATATGCCTCAGATGGCAAAAATACCACTGCTGCGAGGTGTGAGCTCATGGTACATACTAGAAAATTCTATCTAAATCAGATGACGATTATTTGTATTTGGTCCAAGGATATATGTGTAGCAAATATTTCATCAAAGGATGAATGGGAATCAAAGGACACCTGTATCAGTCCTTGTGGAGAGACTTGGCACAGAGCCCATGGCCTGGCAACTGTTGCTTGGGTAGGCAGCTACATCCTTCGCTGGTGAGCTTGTGGGAAGTGGGCTGTGGCTGACAGTGTGGAACAGGGAGACTGATCATCCCAGAAGAGGTAGGGTGAATCCTATACTTGAGCTGTAGCTAGAGAACTCAGATGGGTGTGCAGGTGAGCAGCTGTCATGTGACAGATGGGACGACATGGGGGAGTCTGGGGCCAGGAGGCTTCAGGAGGGCGGGCAGGTTGGGCTGGGCTAAGCGTATCTTCTTGGAGCCTTCTCAGGCCCTGCCAACCTGTTCTATGTCCCACTGACTTTGGTCAGTGTAAGTTAGCTGAAGGTTTGGGACCCACGTGTCTGTTCTTCACCGTGGTAGGAAACAAACACAGGTGGAAGGTGTGCAATGGACCAAGCACCTTTCTCTAAGTCCTTTCTGCCTATGCTGATTCAAGTAGCATTCCTGCCTCTTGGAAACAAAAGGACCTTCACTGGCATGGGGATGTAACATCTGCGGAAGCCAAGGTGGCAGCCTGAAGCAGCCTGTCCCACGAGAGGAGTGCTGTCTGTCACAGCACGGGGATCCCTGCCAGTTGGGGGTGATAAGGAAAACCTCCTGGAAGACAGTAAGAATTCTGGCCACTGTCATAGGATACTTCCTATAGGCCCACAAGTGCAAGTATTCTGGATGCTTTCATTAACCCCCCACCAGGAGATTGCCAATGTTCCCATTTCCTAGTCTAGAATACTGAAGTCCAACATGGTCACAGAGCTTCTCTGAGATCTTGGCTAGGAAACAGTGGAGGCAGCACAGCCCAGGCAAACGGATGCCTGAGCTGGGGATCTTTCAGGCTGCATGGGCTGTCTGCTCAGTGTGAATTACCCATCTGGGCACCAAGACAGCTTTTTCTAAAACTTGGCAAGGCCTTTGATTACTAGAAAGAGAGTGGAGATGGGGTGAAGGAGAGATGCTGAGTACCCCACCCACCGTGTCCAGGTCTGCTGTGGTTGGCTCAGCAGTGTAGGTCCCCACAGTGCTCCCAGGGCTGCCTGTCGGTGAGGCACCCTGAGAATCCACACTGCCCACCATGTCGGTTCCTGCTGCAGCCTCCTTGCAGTGGAGCTGAGACTGGACAGAGTCTTGTTCTGGGACCCTTGGTGGCTCCTCCGCAGGTTTCAAGCACTGGGCCAGGAGTCTCCAGGCCTCGGAGTGACCGCCCTTCCAGGCCCGGAGCTGGGCCATGACATAGTGGGCCTTGGCTGCCCACTCCCACCGAAGCCAGTCCAGGACGTGCGTCCCCCACTCCTCGGGGTGTTCTCGGAGCAGAGGGACCCTCCGGGCCACCTCCTTGGTGAGGACAAGAATGCTTTCCAGAGCCACCATAAGGTCTTCTTGACAGGGCCCAGACTCTCGGCTACTTGCCACAATTTCCTGCACAGCTTGGATTCTGGACGCCATTGTTTCCAGGGAGCTTTCTGGGCTGCTCTGGGGATCCTTGCAGCCAGAGCGTCTCGAGAAGAAAACATTTTGCAGGGCACATTCGTAGTCTGCATTGATGCTCCTGAAGTGGCCAGTCAGGGACTTGGCTCGCAGGGCGAGCTCCAAGCAGAGGAGTTGAAAGCGTGTAGACAGGCTGGGAGACGGCTTAGGGCAGGAGACCAAGATCTGTGCCACATCCAGCAGAGCGTCTGTGAGCACGTGAACCTCCCTACATAGAAAGGAGACCTCACCCTTGACCTGCTCACTCCGACTCAGTGGGCCAGACAGCCTGGCAGCCTCTCGCAGCCTCCGAGAAGCGTCTGCTGCCTGCTCCAACCCTTCCTTCAACCCCTGCTGGCGTTTCACTGCCTGCCGTAGGGGAAGCAGGAACAGGCCTTGTCTCTCGGTGAACCTCTCCATGTACTGAATGAGGTCATGGACAGCCGCTGACCATAGAAAGCACCCATCTTCAATGTCCTTTTCCCATGACTTGGGGGCTTGGAGACCATCCCAGGCCAGAATGGTGTCCATCAGTTGTTTAGCACGGGTCTCTGCCTCCTTCAATCTGCCTTGCATTTGTAAAAGTGCTTCTGGGAGTCCGGTTGAGTTCGGGTCCTGCTTAGTCAAGTCCCTGGGCCCACTTTGAGCTGCTAGCTGAACCACTGAGGCTAAATTCTGCTGAAGCTCCATGAATACTGCCATGTTCCCTGGTAGATCAGCTGTTCGGTTGTGACAAAACAGCTGTTGACACAGATGGTACCAGTCCCCAGCCACAGCTACCAAACTCTGTCTGGTCTCCCTGGTTCTCCCAGGGAGCTGGAGAGTCCCTTTCAGAAGCCCATCAGCTCTAGAGGCTGTGTAATGGGCTACCTCCCTTGGTGGCTCACAGGCAGAAGGTCTCCGTGCTGAGATCTCTGGGAGACCTGTCATCCGCTCTGACCCCAGGGGTCCCTCCCCAGCCAGGGCCTCTTGATCTGCATCCACAGCTGCACCCTGCTCCAGCAGGCCGATGCCAGCGGAGGGCACTGTCTGGTGGTCCTGGCTCTCTACAGCGAGGATGAGTTTGTTAATGGCAGGGGGTGCAGAGACCCTCCTCTGTGGTTGTATGTCAGGAATCCAGGGGCAGGAAGGATGGTCCCTTGGGGAACAGGAGGTGCCCGGGTCACCTTCCTCTAACCCAGGCACCCTCTGGCATTTCAGTTTAGGGGCATTAGTGTCCCAGAGGCTGGGAAGAATGAAACCAGGATGGCCCTTGGCAATTCGTAACCTCTGGACTTGGATCCGAAGAGGGCTGAGGATATCCGGGTGGTTGGTTCCATCCAACCCCTCCAGCACGCTCTGCGCTGAATAGATGAGTCGTTTTGCCATGGCTAAAACCACGTCTGTGTCCTGGGAGCTGTGCCCACCTGAGCAGCGCTCAGCAACCGCACCCAGGACCAGGCAAGACTGCGCCAGCTGCTGGATCAAGACTCTGAGGCCATTCCGGAAAATGGGGTCTCTTTCTTGGCCCACATACCTGCTCATGACTTGCACGATGTGTGTGGCTCGACCCTGTAAATACACCACAGGTCTACAAAACTCTCTGGGATCTCCATTTTTCAAAGCCCACGTGAGGAAGGGCAAATGCCTGGTCATTTCCTGAATGGACACGTTCAGGAACTCAGGAATATTGAGAACATCATCGAAACATGCTAACAGGCATTGGGACGCACCGGCCCAGGCCGGAAGCAAGGCCTGCAGAGTGGCAGGGTCCTGGTCCAGACCAGATCCTTGGGGGCTTCGGGAGAAAAGCTGTTGCACTCTGACCACGAGCGCCCACAGGCCCACTGTGGCAGCCTCCAGGTCTCTGCAGGTCTGCGGCCGCGGGCAGCAAACCAAGACCAGGTGAGCCACCCTGAGCATCTGCTTGGCTTGGTCCAGGAAAGCCGTAAGGAAAGGCCGGAGGCTCTCGGGCAAGGCTTCGCCACCGTTCGGGCAGCCTACTTTGGGGGTCGCCAGCGCGGTCTGCACCAGTCTCTGAAGAGGGCTTTGCGTATCCGTGAACGCGTCCAGGATCTGGCGCAGTAGCGCAGTGCGGACTCCCTGGGAGAGGGCCTCGGTCGCGGCCCGCAGCGCCGCGCGCTCCTGGGTCGGCTCCAGGTTCCCGCGGCCGGGCCCCCAGGCGCACAGAGTCCCACGCAGCTCCAGCAACCGGCTGCAGCGGGCCACTAAGCGCAGCCTCTCCGGCGGGGCGCAGCCAGCGGCCAGGCGCATGCAGTGCCCCAGCACGGCCGCCAGCGGTCCATCTAGGAGCCCGCTCAGGCTTCCGGCCCTGGGCGCCGCCAGCAGCTCGCTCAGCTGACGCAGGCGCCGGGGCAGCGTGCCGCCTCGCGTGCGGCCCCGGGCCGCGGCGCCGGGGTCGAGCCGCGCCAGGAGCTTGCCCAGGGCCTCCCGGGTCAGAACAAGAGCGTGGCGCCGGGAGGCTGCCAGCTGCGGGTCGTGCGGGTGCCGCAGGTGGCCTCGGGCGGCCGCGACGAGGGCGGGAACGCACGCCCGGAGCAGGTGGCCGGGCCCGCGCGCCGTCAGAGCCCCTAGGCGCAGCAGCGCCGCCGCCAGGTCTGCGAAGGGGCCGCTCAGCGAGGCCGCGTCGTCCTCCACCTCCAGTGCGTCCAAGCAGGTGAGGCACCAGCCAACCGCCAGCGCCGTCCTCCTGGCCCTCGCCGCCTCTTCCAGGAGCAGGACCTGTGCAGACAGCCGGGGAGAGAGGCCTGGAGATGCATGCACGTTTTGGAGCAAGGGCGAGAGCAATGGCCCCTACCTAACTCCCAAGACAGACCAAAGGGAGGGAGGAGCCACCTGGGAGTAGCTTCGCAAGCGAACAGCTGGTTTACCTGAACATGGAAAGCCGCCTGCACGTAGCTATATTTAATGTGGGGCCTGGCCTGGGTGAGGATGGTGGCTGGAGGGATGTGCCCTCCCAGACAGCTCCGTCCCCTGCCTTCCGCGTGCCATCAAGAGCAGGTGGCAAAGCCCAGGCTCTGTCTCTTATCCACCCATTTCCAACCCTCTTTTAATAAGGACCTGTAAAATTAGGAAGATTCCCCCGGCCACACACACACCACCAACAACGATTAACCCACACTATTACTTACTGATGAGCAATTGTATTTGATAGTGTTTAAGGCACATGGATTCCAACAGGGCCTCATGAATGCAGTCATAGTAGAGTGTTGGATGGAACATGGCCAGTGTTTGGAGACTGGGAGTTGGTCCTGGTTTCCTGATACCCCTCCAGCCGAGGCCAGTGCAGTGGGCCTTTGGTTTTCCAGTCAGTATGACAAATAAGCTGAGTAGCTGAGGTTTCAGGGGCCTCTCCCCATGGCTCATGGCCACAGACAGGGTGGAAAATAACCCTTTTGGTGACTCCCCGCCCTCCCCTTAGAGGTAAGTGGCTAAATGTAAGTGATGAGGGGACTGCATGTGGGTTTAAGATCATAGACCTGGGGCTGGCACTGTGGCACAGTGGGTAAAACTGCCACCTGCAGCACTAGCATCCCATATGGGTGCCCATTCACCTCTCAGTTGCTTCACTTCCGACCCAGCTCCCTGCTTATGGCCTGAGGAAAGCAGCGGAAGATGGCCCAAGCGTTTGGGCCCCTGCCACCCATGTAGGAGACCAGAAGAAGCTCCTGGCTCCTGGCTGCAGATCTGCCCAACTCTGTCCGCTGTGGCTGTTTGGGGAGTGAACCAGTGGATGGAAGATTTCTCTCTCTCTCGGTTTCCTTCCCTCTCTGTAACTCTGCCTTTCAAATACATAAATACATCTTTTTTTTTTTTTAAAAAAAGACCCTAACTCAGTATGACTGTTCAGCTCCCTGTGCCAGCTTCTACTTTTAGCCTTTTAGTTGGCAATGGATACTTCGCCTAGGATCTTGGCAGAAAATTGGGTGGGTTTCTCTCTGGGGCAAGGATCCACTGTGAAAAGAACACGCCCATCCATGCTTCCCAGCAGTGGGCTTTCTGTTGGGACCAGCCAGCCGGCCGGCTCTGACCACAGCCTCACCTTGGCAGTGCCCACCACGATCTGCTGTGCTGTGGTCACGAGCTCCTCCCGATGGCTGTGACACTCTGGCTGCAGGTGAAGCTTCCGGGCCACGCAGGAGATGTTCCTCCCAGAAAGGATGAGAGACTCGGTGGCCGGCTCCATTTCCGCCCTGAGCCACTCCTCCCCTGAGTCAGCTGCCAGCCTGCACAGACAGCATGCTGTGTTACAAAGGGAAATGTCCCCCTAAGGAGAGCAGGCTACGCAGAAGCAGAGCACGCAACAGCGATTCCCATGGAGAAGTCCGGCTGCACTTAGAGTCACGGAAGTCTCTCCAAGATACAGGACATTCATCAGCTTTTTGTCAACATAATGGCATAGCTAACTTAATAAAGAGAAAGGGCTTACTTATTTCACAGTTTTGGAGGGTCAAGTCCAAGACGCCCATTGGTTTGGTCTCTGATGAGGCTGGGGGATGGCACTGGTGGAATACTTGGGGAGGAGGGATCAAGAAGAGAAAGAGGGGGCCGGTGCTATGAAGCAGCAGGTAAGAGCCCTGGACTGAAGCACCCACATCCCATATGGGCACCGGTTTGAGTCCCGGCTGTTCCTCTTCCGATCCAGCTCTCTGCTACGGCCTGGGAAAGCAATAGAAGATGGGCCAAGTCCTTGGGCCCCAGCACTGCACCCATGTGGGGAGACCCTGAAGAAGCTTCTGGCTCCTGGCTTCAGATCAGTACAACTCTGGCTGTTGTGGCCAACTGGGGAGTGAACCAGTGGATAGAAGACTTTCTCTCTCTCCACCTCTATGTCTCCCTCTCTGTAACTCTGCCTTTCAAATAAATAAATAAAATCTTAAAAAAAAAGAATAGGGAAATGTCAAAAGGATACAGAAGTCAATTGGAAGAATGTGTTCAATGACCAAAGCTGGAACAAATAAATAATGTTGAATAATAAAATAATAATGACAGTATTAGATTATAACTCATAGGATGAAATAAGAATTCATGAGGCAATATTGTATGAATAAACACATGACTCAATAGATAAATGAGGAAGAAAGGACAGAATTTCTTTATAGAATAATTCCACTTAATAAATGTAGGTGGAATAACAGCAATTAAAAATTATCATTAGGCAAACAAAGTAATGACTCTTGCAGGCAAGGGGCATAGTGTGTGCTACCATAAATGGATAAAAAGTTGAGAAGCAGAACAGTTACCTAAGTGTTTTCATAAGGCTATTTATCCATTTCAAAAGGAAAAATTATAGAGAAATCTGTTAGCACCTTAATCAAGTGATAGTATAAAGTCATCAGTAGTAAGGCACATCAAAAGCTCTTGGAGAATGCATATTATAAAACACTAAGCCTTAACTTCAATTTTTTGCACCAAATTAAACTTATCTTTTTATTTTTTTAAGATTTTATTTATTTATTTGAATTACAGACAGTGAGAGGGAGAGACAGAAAGATCTTCCTTCCTTTGGTTCACTCCCCAGATGGCTGCAACAGCCGGAGCTGCACCAATCCAAAGCCAGGAGCCAAGTGCTTCTCCCTGGTCTTCCACGTGGGTGCAGGGGACCCAAGCACTTGGGCCATCTTCCACTGCTTTCCCAGGCCATAGCAGAGAGCTGGCTTAGAAGAGGAGCATCCAGGACTAGAACTGGTGCCCATATGGGATGCTGGCACCACAGGCGGAGAATTAACCAAGTGAGCCACGAGGCAGGTCCCAAACTTATCTTTTAATTCTGTTTTTCATGAACTTTCTTTTTTAAAGATTTATTTATTTTATTTTAAAGGCAGAATTATAGAGAGAGAGAGGGAGAGACAGAGCAAGAGAGAGATCTTCCATACTCTGGTTCATTCACCAAATGTCCACAATGGCCAGGGCTGGGCCAGGCCAAAACCAGAAGCCTGGAGCTTCTTCCAGGTCTCCCACGTGGGTGCAGGGACACAAGTACTTGGACCATCCTCTGATGCTTTCCCATTAGCAGGGAGCTGGATCGGGAATTGGTGCCCATATCAGATGCTAGCCCCTCCATGAACATTAAGTACCATAGTACACAGGTATTTCTTTTCTTTTTTAAAAGATTTTATTTATTTGAAAGACAGAGCTACAGAGAGAGAGAGGGAAAGACAGAGATCATCCATCTGCCACATGGCCGCAATCGTCCATCGTCCATGGCCACAATGGCCGGAGCTGGGCAGATCTGAAGCCAGGAGCCAAGAGCTTTGTCCAGGTCTCTCACATGGGTGCAGGGGCCCAAGGACTTGGGCCATCTTCTACTGCTTTCCCAGGTCATAGCAGAGAGCTGGATTAGAAGAGGAGCAGCCAGGACTAGAACCAGTGCCCATATGGGATGCGGGTGCTGCTGGCGGAGGCTTAGCCCACTACGCCACAGTGCTGGCCCCACAGATATTTCTTTATGTGAATTTTTAAAAAAGGATAAATGGAAATATGGGGAAGAAAAATATGGAAAGAGGAAATAAAAACGAGAGAGGGAGGGAGAGAGAGAATCTGGAATAAATGTAAACTAAATGTAGGAGCTGGAGGCGGCGGCCGTTCCCGTCGGCCTCCGGCACGACTGACCGCGGACAGGCCCGAAGGCGGGCGGGAGGCTGGAGCTTATTTAATGAAAAGTGCCATACACTGAAAAACCAAACATGAGGGTAGCAGTTTAATGAGCGGCGTGAAGAACAACGTTGGAAGAGGGATCAACGTTGCCTTGGCAAATGGAAAAACAGGAGAAGTATTAGACACTAAATATTTTGACATGTGGGGAGGAGATGTGGAACCGTTTATTGAGTTTCTTAAGGCCATACAAGATGGAACAATAGTTTTAATGGGAACATACGATGATGGAGCAACCAAACTCAATGATGAGGCACGGCGGCTCATTGCAGAATTGGGAAGTACATCTATTACTAATCTTGGTTTTAGAGACAACTGGGTCTTCTGTGGTGGGAAGGGCATTAAGACAAAAAGCCCTTTTGAACAGCACATAAAGAACAATAAGGATACAAACAAATATGAAGGCTGGCCTGAAGTTGTAGAGATGGAAGGATGCATCCCCCAGAAGCAAGACTAAAGGGACCGTGGAGAAAATGGAAGGAAGCACACTTTAACTGTTCACGGGAGAGCTCTAAAGGAAAAACTTCATGTAAATATTTTAAGAGCATGCAGCAATCTCGGTGTATGCATGAACATTATTTCTTTTGATATCAGGATTATTTATTACTAACGTAAATAGATATCTTTGTAAATAGCCAACCTAACGAGCAGATCACTGAAGCATTTCTAAGCACATCTCCCTGCAAGAACAATGTGTAGACTGCTGTGGTGGTAATGTGTCTTAATTCTAAGTGCATACCAGACAGATAACTGAAAAGATTGTAAAAACTATATTGATATGTATACTGTTGCTGTGAAAATCTGTCATGGAATAATAATGGATTTTAGGGAAGAGACTTGGTTTTGTTTTATATAAATCATATATGTATGTGTGTGTGTGTGTATATATATACATATATGTGTGTATATATAGAGAGAGCTTTATGATGACCATATCTTTTAAATTAAAAAGAGATTTGGCTCAAAAAAAAAATGTAAACTAAATGTAGAGTTATGGATGATTCTTTTCTTCCTTCAGCTTTTTCATATTCTCTACATATTCATTATATGTAGGTTTCAATTTTTTTTTTTTTTTTTTTAGCAAAAAGCAGCGTATACTATGTTGGCCTCTTCCTGCAGGGTCCTGCCTAAAAGCCCCATCCTGCTGCCAAAAGCTGTCTGGGCCTGCTGACGTGCCCCCCCCCCCAAGCAGCTCCCCAGCAGAGGAAGGCCGGGAGTGCCACCCCACGCCCAGCGCGTGCTGTGCTGACTGCCTCCATCTGGCCTCCCCTGAGCACTGCTCGGGGAGCTGCTCTGAAAGACAGCGCAGTCAGATCTGAGTCCGAGTATGAATTATAAACAGCCTTGCTCAGTGGCTGTGCTGGACTGTTTCCCAGCCATGAGTGCGGCTACGTCTCTGTGTAAATAATTGACCTTGCCAGGAACAGGTACTACAGCAAAGGCACTTATACTAAAACAGACAAAAACAACACCCAGCTTCTCTCAAAATTTAGTGTCCTTTTTGAGACTATGAAATGTATACCATGAGAAAACTTAGAATAGGGGGTGAGCATTTGGCCTAGCAGTGAAGTTACCTGTGTCCCATATCAGAGTGGCTGGTTTGATACCTGCATCTGGTTCTTGACTCTAGCTTCCTGTCAGTGCAGACCCCAGGAGGCAGTGGTGATGGCTCAAGTAATTGGGTTCCGGCTATGCCTGTGGGATGGCTGGATTGAGTTCCCAGTTTGTGGCTTTGGCTTAACCCAGTCTCAGCCATTGCAGGCATCTGGGGACTGAACCAGTGGGTAGGAGCTATCTCACTGTGTACTTTTCTCCCTCTCCCCTCTCAAATAAATTTTGAAAATTTCTTTTTGTTTCCAAATAACTAAAAGTATTTAAAAAGAAAGAACTTGCCAAGACCCCTGTCCCCTGGATAATCAACCAAGAATGAACTTAAGTGCTGCTGTGCAAGGCCTCTGCTGCTGCAGCTAGGTTACTCATCAGCTGGCCTTGAATAATGAGAGTGTCCAGGACTATCCAGGAGAGCCCAAGGTGGGGGAAGAGTGAGGGAGAGATCAGGAGAGGGAGAAGTCAGAGAGATTCAAAGCAGGGAGGAGCCTAACTTGCAGTTGGTGGAGGGACTCACCGGGAAGCAATCAGCCTAGTAAAGCAAAGACCAGCCAGCTAGGAAACAGGGACCCTGGTCCTACAACCACAAGGAGCTGGATTCATCCGACCGCCTGTATGAGCCTGGATGCCCAGAGCCTCCAGGTGGAAGCCCAGCAAACTGACGCCCCCCTCCCCGACTTTAGTCTGTGGGCCAGACCCCCGGCAGGACTGTGAGATGATGCATTCGTGTTGTTTTAGGTCATTGAGTTTGTGATAACTGGTTCAAGCAGTGAAAGGAATGAATGCAAATCCCTTTCACCTCTATCTGAAACAGTTCCTGAGACTCTCTCTGGCTTTCTTGGCCTTTGGTATTTTATGACGAGTAGAAGGCAGTCATTTACAGAAAGTCCTTCAGCTTGGGTTTGCCTGATTAGGCTGCACATTTGGGGAAATAATTCTCCAGGGGTGAGGTTGTGTCCTCAGTGCCTCACATCAGCAGCATCACGCTGAGTTCCAGAAATGGACAATGTCAACTCAGACCACTCGGGAAGCCTGCAGTCTGTGCTCTGTGAGGCCATTTTCCCCTTTGTAATTAATAAAAACTTGGCAAGAAGGTACCTTGAGACAACATAAACATCCTGCTCTTCATTCGACTTCTGCTTTTAGCGTCCATTGATGATCCTGCCTGGACCAGTTGTGAGAGTCACTAAATTGCAGTCATCTGATTTCGCAACTCCTCCTGCCATCACTAATGGTCACTCTACAATAAGAAAGAATGTTCCCTCCTCCCTTATTTCTTATGGTACACACTCTTTGATTCTTATTTAGTGGTTTATAATCCATTATTGTTTTGTTTATATGCTCAAGTTATCTCATATTAGACCATGTTTTCCCCAAGTTTGCCTCCTTCAAATTGGTTCCTGTACCTTTTTTATTTGTCCTCACTGTTCTTTTTTTAATCACTTCCTTCTTGGCTCAAGGTGTTCCAGGCTCATCTTTTGTTTTTTCTTACCCTGGTCTCAGAGTCAACCCTTTCCCCAAAGGCTCAGGCTCTTTTTAGAGGCAAATGGTGTTTAGCAACCAAAATCTGGGTGACAGGTGTGCTCATTGCTACTGGGGTATCATTGTTTCTAGGATTCTGCAGTGGGCAAAGGAAGTGCACACACATGCACAGACACACTCACATACAGACGTACACTTGGACACACACGTGAGTTCATGCTGCTCATCTCCAGTCTTAGTCCATCACCAGAGGGTTCCTCCTAGACTTCCCTCTCCCTTCTTTGTTAGTGAGAACCCTGACTCCCTGTGTCTTCGGCACATTTACTGGTTTGTCCCATACGTGTGAAAAACAGAGCATTGTTAGCCCACCAATTTTTTTTTTTTTGACAGGCAGAGTGGACAGTGAGAGAGACAAAAGTCTTCCTTTGCCGTTGGTTCACCCTCCAATGGCTGCCGGGGCCAGCGCACCGCGCTGATCCGATGGCAGGAGCCAGGTACTTATCCTGGTCTCCCATGGGGTGCAGGGCCCAAGCATTTGGGCCATCCTCCACTGCACTCCTGGGCCACAGCAGAGAGCTGGCCTGGAAGAGGGGCAACCGGGACAGAATCCGGCGCCCCGACCGGGACTAGAACCCAGGGTGCCAGTGCCGCAAGGCAGAGGATTAGCCTAGTGAGCCGCGGCGCCGGCCCAACCCATGCCAATTTGAAAAACAAACCCACTAAGTGGAATTCAGTATATGTTTGCAGTTCATTTTGTCTTTAGGTTTAAGGTTTGCACTAAAATGTCTTGTTCAAAAGTTCATTGCTTTAGTTCTTTTTGTTTTCCACAATGGGATTATGCTTTTTTTAAAAAAATATTTTACTTATTTATTTGACAGGTAGAGTTACAGACGTGAGAGGGAGAGACAGAGAGAAGGGTCTTCTATTCACTGGTTTACTCCCCAAATGGCCACAATGGCCAAAGCTGCACCTATCCGAAGCCAGGAGCCAGGAGCTTCTTCCATGTATCCCACTTGGGTGCAGGGGCCCAAGGACTTGGCCAGTCTTCTACTGCTTTCCCAGGCCATGGCAGAGAGCTGAATGGGAAGTGGAGCAGCAGGGACTTGAACCAGCACCCATATGGAATGCTGGCACTGCAGGCAGTGGCTTTACCTGCTGAGCCACAGCGCCGGCCCCTGTTCTACTTCTGACCCAGCTCCCTGCTAATGCTCTGGGAAAAGCAGCAGCAGATGGCCCAAGTGCTTGGGGCCCTGCCACTGACATGAGAGACGCTGATGGAGCTCTAGGCTCCTGGCTTCCGCCTGGCACAACCCTAGCCCTTGCAAGCATTCAGGGATTTAACCAGTGCATGGAAGATCTTTGACTCTCCCGCTTTCTCTCTGTAACTGTTCCTTTCAAATCTTTCACATAAATAAATAAATCTAAAAAAAAGAAAAAGACTATTATGACTCCGTTAGGGCCACCCAGATAGTCCAGGATGATCTCCCAGCTCAAGGTCCTTAACTTAATCACATTGGCAAGGTCCCTCCATCGGCCTTGTAAGGTAACATATTCCCAGCTTCTAGGGGTTAGGACATGAACAAATTTGCAGGCTATACTCAGCCTACCATCCTTTCACCATGCCCCTCCATTTTTCCCACCTCTTCTCATGCTAGAAGATGTATCTGTATGTATTTCCCTGTCCCCAGTCCTAGAGTTTCCCAGCCATTTCTCCGGGGATCCCTGAGGGTCCACAGCTATGCTCATTATCACTAAGTGTCACTGCTTCTAGAGCTTCTCAGGAGATGTAGTTGAGAAATAGATCTGAACCAACCCATGTAGTACACACACACACGCACATGCACACACGCACACGCACACACGCACACACGCACACGTTCACACCGAGACAGTCTCCTGGAATCCAGAGAGCTCATTATAACCTTCCCACATGGCTTGTTTGTAACTATTGTCTCTGTCAGTGAGAATCTGGCTCTCATTGTTTCCATTACTTAGTGATTATATTTGTAAATTAGTTCCAAAATTAGTGACCATTCCTCTACAAGAAACAAATTTACCAACTGCTGTGCCACATTTTATGCATGGTTCTTTTTGTCTTTAGTTTTACAGCATCCGGTGAAATACTGTTGCTTAGAGCAGTTCTTCCCCGCTACCCCAACCCTTTCGATGACGTTATATCTTGCATCTGCAATCTATGTAGAGTCACTTGTCACAGTCTCCCTCTCTCTCACTCAGATCATTAACATCCTGCTTCAGTTTTTAAATTTGTATTTATTTATTTTGAGAGAGACAGGGAGGAGGAGGAGATGGGGAGAGAGGGATGGAGGGAAAGAGAGACAGACATGGACATACAGAAAAAGAGAGAGAGAGAGACATCTCCCACCTACTGGTTCATGTCTCAGATGTGTGCAACAGCAGGGGCTGGGCCAGGCCTGGCCAGAGAAGCTGAGAACTCAGTCCAGGTCTCCCATGTAGGTGGCAGGGCCCCAGCTGCTGTCTCCCAGGGTGCTCATTAGCAGGAAGCTAGAGTCATGGCTGGAGCCAGGACTTGAACTCATGCACTCTGATATGGGATGTGGCTGTCCCCAGCAGGACCTTAACTACTGTGCCAAATTCACCCCAGGGTTCATTTCTAAAATTTGTGTGCAGCCAAGAGTGCTCTTTGCCACGTGCAGCCCCATGTGCACCGGTGTGTTTCTGGCTTTCTGTGTGGTACCGCTGGTTGTCTGCCTCTTTGTGTGTCAGTATCACACCCCTTGCCTTACAGAAGACCTAGATTGGTTGTAATCTCTGCAGGTATAGCCCCATCTCATTTTTTTTTTTAAAGATTGATTTAGTTATTTGAGAGGTAGAGTTACAGACAGTGAGAGGGAGAGACAGAGAGAGAGATCTACCATCTGCTGGTCTACTCCCCAAAATGCCTAAAACAGCCAGAGCTGCACCGATCTGAAGCCAGGAGCTTCTTCCAGGTCTCCCATGTGGGTTCTGGGACCCAAGCGCCTTGGCCATCTTCCACTGCTTTCCCAGGCTATAGCAGAGAGCTGGATTGGATGAGCAGCAGACGGGACTAGAACTGGTGTCCATAGGCAAAGACTTAACCCACTGTGCCACAGCGCTGCCCTCATAATGTTTTATCCTGGGTTTTTCCTAGTTATTCCTGCATGTTTGATTTTCTCATATGAACTTTAGTACAACTTTTAAAGCTCCATTAAAAATGAAAGAATTTGTATGAGATTATAGTAAATTGGAGAATTAACTTAGAACTAACACTTTTAAGAAGTGGTCAAGCCCTCCAAGAACGTCTTTCCATTTGTTCAGGTCCTCTGAACATACTTTTCAGAAGTGTTTTGATGTTTTTAATTTTAATTTTGATGTTCATAAATATTTTGTACAGTTTTTATAAATTCATCCCTAAGATGTTATTTTCTTTGTTGCCATTATAACAAGGGTTTTTTCCTACTATTAAAATCTTATAGTTGGTTATTGTTTGTGTATGTGAAGAATACTAGTTTCTGTAGGTTAATATTACATCCTATTACCTTACTAATTCTCTATTATTTGAATTAGCTTCATCATTCAGTCCATAGAGATTTACACTAAGATTAATCTTATTTTAAAATTAAAATTTCTTGTTTATTTTAAAATAATTTTTCTAGTTCTATAACTACTATGCGATCTTTAATAAAATCTGAAGAAAAAAAAACACTGAGAAAAAGGAAAAAAAGGAAGGAAGCTAGACACGGCTGCTGTATCCACTGCCCGAGAGCGGGCCTTTGGCTCTCTTACGTAGGGCTCTATTTCAGCACCTGGAACAGTGCCTGGCACCTTAATGGGTACTCAGTAAATGTTCGGTAAAAGAGGGGAGAATTGGGACAGGCATTGCGGCTTGTGGGTTAAGCTGCCACTTGGTATTCTGGCATCATATGCTGGAGTGCCCAGGGTCAAGTCCAGCCTCTCCTTGCAATCCAGCTTCCTGCTAATGTGTGCCCTGAGAGGCAGCAAGTGATGGCTCATGTGTTTGGGTCTTGCCATCCAAGTGGGAGATTTGGATAGAATTCCTGGCTGCTGATTTTGGCCTGGTCCAGCCTGGCTATTGCAGGCATTTTGGGAGTAAACCAGCAGTTGGAAGATCTCTCTCTCTGTCTCTGTCTGTATCTATAATACATTTTTAATATTAAAAAAGAATCATGCCCAATGCAAGAATGATTGACATGAAAATTATATTTAGACAATTCTAAATATTCTCATACCTATATAGAATAATCTGTGTGACATGCAGTAAGAATGAATCTAAAAATCTTTTGATGGGACACAGATCTGCTTCTTAGAGGAAAACTCACCTAGTTCTAAAATATTTGGATATTTAAAGTACACTCCAAGTAATAATAACGTTTACGTAAGTCTGCCTTAGGTTTTCACATCTGACTTCTTTCCGTGGGCTTTTAAGGGCACTGCGGGAAGTTTCTAGCCGCACGTTCTTTCTTCTGCAAATCTGCCAGAGTAAAGGGCTTGAGTTCTTTCAACATTACCTTCTGGCCGCTTGCACAAATGCTTCGCTAGCTTTAGCCAAGTCCTCTGCCATCTTCTCCAAAGAGGCAAACGCTTCGTTCGCCACATCTGTCCTCTCCATGGAGATGAGCAGGTGGCAAAGCTGAACACTCATGGGCAAGATGATTCTCTCAATAGCCTCGTTCTGTATCGCGGAGCTGATGTCATCGAAGAGAAAAGACTCCATCTCTCGCAGTCTGTGGCAACGTGGTCACAGCCTGTGCTGACTGAACGTCTTGACTTGATGCTTGGCTGATTTGACTTCTATGAAGGGAAGAGAATCTACAAAACAGTAAAGGGACGCATGGAGGCTTATTCTCAGAACCTTACAAGTACAGGATAGGTTGTGGCTTAGCAGAAACGTATGAGAAAGGTGAGACTGGCATTGTGGCACAGCGAGTTAAGCCACCACTTGTGATGCCGGCTTCCTATAGCAGAGCACTGGTTTGAGTCCTGGCTACTCTGCTGCCAGTCCAGCTCCCTGCTAACGGACCTGGAAAGGCAGCAGAAGATGGCCCAGGTACTTGGGCCTCTGCACCCAAGTGAGAGACCAGGATGCAATTCCTGGCTCCTGGCTCCTGGCTTTGGCCTGGCCCAGACATAGCTGTTGTGGCCATTTGGGGAGTGATCCAGTGAATGGAAGATTCTTTCTCTTTTTTTCTCTCTCTCTCCACCCCCTCTCTGTCAATCTACCTTGCAAATAAATAATCTTTTTCCACCAAAGAATAAACATATGAAAAACAAAAAAAAATCAATGAGACAGGTATGGAGAAAGGCAAACAGAATGGCGAATGGACTCAGAAATGGTATGAAATGGAGACAGTTTAAGAAATGGTTGAAACTGTGAAGACAAGATTGAAGTCTTCAGTATTTGTACTACAGTAGAGGGAATGCAGTCCCATTTACTATGCTCTCAGACTTAGACATGATAGGTTATTTTTCAGAAGAAAGCTTCCATAACAAAGAATGAAATGCAGAGCCAACTTCATCCAAGTCTGTTTCAAGCTAGAGACACCATCTGTGACCATTGTTAAACATTGTTTTTGAAGTTGCACTCAATTCAAGTGGGCCAAAAATGATATATTGAAATGGGCAAAGTTATTCAAGATATTTTATTTAAAAATTTCCATATATGGTGGCTGGCACCGTGGTGCAGTAGGTTAATCTTCTGCCTGTGGTGCCAACATCCCATATGGGTGCCAGTTCTGCTCCTCTTCCGATCCAGCTCTCTGCTATGGCCTGGGAAAGCAGTAGAAGATGGCCCAAGTGCTTGGGCCCCTGCACCCACAAGGGAGACAAGGAAGAAGCACCTGGCTCCTGGCTTCGGATCATCGCAGCTCTGGCCGTTGCAGCCATTTGGGGAGTGAACCAACGGAAGGAAGACTTTTCTCTCTGTCTCTCCCTCTCACTGTCTGTAACTCTACCTCTCAAATAAATAAAAAAAATCTTAAAAAAATTTCCATATATGGTTGTATATATTTTCTCTATTAACAGAAATCAGAACTGGAAATGGAAAAACATCTCATTAAAAACCAACTAAATTTAACATGAAATAAGTTTAATGTGGAAGGCACAAATTTAACTCGAATAAAATTTTATAGAGGAAATAAAACTGAATAATTTGAGAGATATAACATGTCTAGACAGAAAACAATATTATAGAAATAAGAATCCTCCCAACATTAATAATGCATGGGAATCATTGAAATTTTATTACAGTGAGTTTGGAGCTAGCTAAACTAACTGGAAGGATTTCTGAATTCCTAGTTCCTAGCTAAAAATTTCAGAGTCCATGTAGAAAAGTAGATGCTTGAGAATAATGAAGAATCCAAGACAAAAAATAACAAAAAGGAATTCAAAGCCACTATGTGATGCTAACTGTTAATTACTTCCTGGGTTGGCAGAGGGACCAAAGGATCATACTCAGTCAAAGATCCCTTTAAAGAGATTTAACTTGTTCCTGTCAATCCAACAATAGAACCTCTAAGAAGCTTAAGAGTATTGTTCCTCAGCCTCTCAGCAAGAGCTCAAGATAATGAGGGCTTATTTCAGAGAGGCGCATAGTGTGTTTCATCTAATGTGTTGACCTCAGTGAGACACACACCAAATTGTTTGAGAAACTGCATCAGCTAGCTTGGGCTGGAAAAGACAGAGCCAGTGTGCTATAGTTCGGATATGGTTTGAGTGTTCCCCCGCAAAGATTCATGTGTTGGAAACTTGGTCCCCTGTGTGGTGAGATTGAGAGAGTTGGCACCTCTAAGAGGTGGAGCCAGTGTGGATGATCAGTCACCGGGGGTGTTACCCTTGGCTGGGATTAATATAGTTCTCACTGGACTCTGGTTAGTTCCCATGAAGTTGGGTGCTTATGAAAAGAGCGACTGGGCCAGCGCCGCAGCTCACTAGGCTAATCCTCCGCCTGCGGCGCCGGCACACCAGGTTCTAGTCCTGGTCGGGGCGCCAGATTCTGTCCCGGTTGCCCCTCTTCCAGGCCAGCTCTCTGCTGTGGCCAGGGAGTGCAGTGGAGGATGGCCCAAGTCCTTGGGCCCTGCACCCCATGGGAGACCAGGAGAAGCACCTGGCTCCTGCCATCGGATCAGCGCGGTGCGCCGGCCGCAGCGCACCAGCACCAACCGTGGTGGCCATTGGAGGGTGAACCAACGGCAAAGGAAGACCTTTCTCTCTGTCTCTCTCTCTCTCACTGTCCGCTCTGCCTGTCAAAAAAAAAAAAAAAAAAAAAAAAAAGAGTGACTGTGCTCCCCTCGTGGTCCCAGCCACCACATGGTGATGCAGCCAAGCAGGCCCTCACCAGAGCCCAGCAGATGCCCACATCATACTTCTGAATTTCCAGAATCCTGATCTAAATAAACTGCATTTTTTGTAAAGTACTCAGCCTTGGGTATTTTGTTACAGAATAGAAAAGGAACTAATACACAGTCCACCATGAAAAGGAGCTGCTGGACCTCCAAAATTCTGGCAGGGAGCAGGCTGAGAAAACAGAGGCTACTTTTCCTGAGAAAAGGAATGAATGACGACTAATAAGGCAGAATTAAGAGTCAGAGGGTGGGGCTGTGGCACAGTGGGTTAACTCCCTGACCTGAAGCGCCGGCATCCCATATGGGTGCTGGTTCGAGACCTGGCTGCTCCACTTCCGATCCAGCTCTCTGCTATGGCCTGAGAAAGCAGTGGAAGATGGCCCAAGTCCTTGGGCCCCTGCACCTACATGGGAGACCCGGAAGAAGCTCCTGGCTCCTGGCTCCTGGCTTCAGATCAGCACAGCTCCAGCCATTGTGGCCAACTGGGGAGTGAATCAGCAGATGGAAGACCTCTGCATCTCCTCTATGTGTACCTCTGACTTTCAAATAAATAAATAAATCTTTAAAAAAGAAAGAGAGAGAGGAGCCCAAAACCACAGAGAATTATTTTGGGGCAAGAAGAAGACTGTGTTGAATCAAAGTTCTTCCAACATCTGGGTCTCAGAATTGCTATGGACCCGTGACACCTGTGTGTCTTTTTTGAACCAGTTATCTTGTGCCTATTCCACTGTTGTATGTTGGGGCTATTAGTTAGCTGGTCTTTTTGGTTTAATGAATGGGCAGCTTAATACATGAAATTTGCTCACCTTATATAAATTTTAAAAATTGTACATAGAAAAGAAATTAATATGGAATTTTTAAAAAAATCCACAGATTGAGAGAAGCTGAATTCAAGGAGCTCTGGCTAACAAAGCACACCTTAGGTGCCTCCATCATCGAGGATGTGATCTTGGATAGTGAGACACTGCTGTGGGCAGGTGGGAAGTTGGGGGCTCTGTTGCTAAGCTGTGGGTGTATTTCATATGTGGGAGGAACATGGATCCTTGGGGATCAGGGGGCAAACAATGGCTGCCCGTGAATCCCCGACAGAAAAGCAATGTCTTGGCCTGACGTGTGGGGGAGAGATCCAGAGAACAAACTGTAATGGAGGATCACTCCTCTTGATGCTGAGGGGCAGCATTGTGTGTCCTCGTGTCTCAGTTCAGGGCTGCTATAATACAAGCATTTTATTCTTCATAGTTCTGAAGTCTGGACTTCCAAGATCATGGTGCCAGTAGACTTGGTATATACCAAAGATCCTCTTCCTGCCTTGTAGATCAGCTGCCTTCTGGCTGTGTTCCTACATGGTGGAGAGAAAGATCTGATCTACCCATCTTGGCGAAGGGGCATCCATGCCATCACAAGGGCCCCATCCTCATGACCTGACCTAACTCCAATGAACTCCCAAAGACACTACCTCCAAATAGCACTTTGAGTTTAGGGCCTTAACATATGAATTTGGGAGGGCTCCACCCAGTCCATGTCACTAATATCATTCAGCTGTTGGCTGTGGCTCCCCCAGTTTCCCTACTCATGTCCTCGCACAGCACAGAGGGCACATCTCCAGATGAGGAGTTCCTGCAGTTGAGGACAGTTCTTTAGAGAAGGGGAGTACCTGTGACAGTGAGCGACAGGCAAGCCCACAGCAGCTTGGCATGGCTGCCCAACCTGAGCAGGAGATCTGGGTAGGGAATGGCTTCGCCGTCAGGAAGGGACTATGCTGATTAGTTGGGAGTCCATGTGCCCGTCCCAGCATCCAGTGTTGGGGGTGGTCCCACCAACCACATCTTCTAAAAGTTCACATGGAAAATCAAAGCCTTGGCTGGGGTGGCTGAGCGGCACTGGCCCAGAATGCGGGGAGCGAGAGAGCGGAGGCCGTGCAGATCGGCAAATGCTCGTCTCCTGTGGGTGCCCTGCGCTGCCCTCTGAGGGCTGCCATGGAGCTCTGTGGAATGCCCTTAGCATCATTCTCCCAGCACCTGGCTCCTCCCTTCTATCCTTACTAACCCCCTTGCAAAAGGGTCGCTTGACCAAACCCTTGGGATTCTCTCCCAAACAAGCTTTTCCACTCTTTACGTGGCCGGGCTGTGAATTTACCATTTACATTATGCTTCTTTTTTAACTATAAATTCCTTCTCTCGCATTTCCATATATATATATTTGTTTTTTTGACAGGCAGAGTTAGACAGTGAGAGAGAGACAGAGAGAAAGGTCTTCCCTCCGTTGGTTCACCTCCCAAATGGCCGCCACGGCCGGCGCACTGCGCCAATCTGAAGCCAGGAGCCAGGTGCTTCCTCCTGGTCTCCCATGCGGGTGCAGGGGCCCAAGCACTTGG